GTATCGGGATATATCGTATCGTGACCCCTCTGTCATGATATGTATCGTATCGTCAAATTCTTGCCAATACACAGCCCTAAAATCCACTGTAAAAACTAATTAAAACTAACTGAATTAAAATGAATAAAGTCACAACGAAATAAAACTAAACTATAATGAAAAATCCTAAACTATTATAACCTTCCTCAGATCGTCCCACAGTTTATTTTATATGATTCAGGTCTAGATTCCAAAACTTGACTCTTCTTCTCGTGAAGCCATTCTTTTGGTGATCTGGATGTATGTTTTGGGTCGTTGTCGTTCTGAGCAGAAGCCCAGGATTAACTGGTATTTGGAGCTGTTCACAGCTCCTTCCACCTTGACCAATGCCCCAGTCCCAGCTGAAGAAAAGCAGCTCTAAAGCATGAAGCTGCCACCGCCATGCTTCACTGTGGGTACGCTGTTCTTCTGGTGATGTTCAGTGTTGGGTTTAAACCCAACTTTTTGGAAATATGGCCAAAACCTTCATCAGATTGTGACACATTTTCCCACATCTCTGTGTTTTTACAAAGTTTATCTGGGCTTTGATGGTTCTTTAAGGCTTTCGTCATGCAACTCTACCCCACAGCCCAGACATATGGAGCATACAGGAGATTGTTGTGACATGTACTGCACAGCCAGTACTTGAGGGAAATTCCTGTAGCTCCTTTAAAGCTGCTGTAGGCCTCTTGGCTGCCTCTCTGACCTGTTTACTTCTCGTGTTTTCATCATTTTTGGATGAGTTCTTGGTAATGTCACTGTTGTATCATATTTTACYCACTTGATGACTGTCTTCACATACATGTCATCCCCCTTGGAYATTTACCTGTATAAAGAGCCTGAAAAAWCCCTWAGTTTWKCTAAAAATCYGTACAATTCGGGGGGTGGGGTGRGGGTCTGTCGGCTGCAGAGATGACAGCGCCCCGCCCTAACCGAGGAAAGGAGAGCGGAAAAAGTGCTGAACTTATTTCTAGCGGCAGAGCAGGTTGGAAGATGGTTATTTGATGTTATTTACTGTTTTTTAAAGCATCCTACAGGCCCTGACATGTTTGATAAATTTTAAAATGAGGTTTTGAAAAAATCCATAAGACTTGAAAAAATTCGTAAGACTGCTCTATACGTCCATATTCTGTAAAATGACGTAAAATCCTTATAATTTACAGACAATCTGTACAACTTGACATGCATGTCTTCATGTGATGACGACTAATGTCTTTGTGCCCTTCTGACGGGTATATTTTAATAATGATGCTTTGGAAGCTCTCTGTGGACCATGGCTGTAAAATGCTGTAAGAAATGTCAGAAAAGCCTGCTGAGGTTAATCACAGGCACTTTAAATGATGTGAGGTGTACTGACTCAGACTGAACATGAGTTTGAATGTGATTAGTTCATTCTGAAGGCCCACACTCCCAGTTATAAGAGAGTGTGCACAGTTATGCAACCACCTTATTTAAGTTTGTTTTTGTCCCTTATARAAGATTTTTGTTCCAATTCAGTTGTACAGGTTTTTGGCTGGGTATAGTGGCTAATTCTCTAAATCAATTCAATTTCGATTCATAAGATTCTGAATCAATTAATCATGACTTGTTTTGATTTGATCTGCTCTTAAATAATGAAAATGGTTCAGCTCTGTTGCAAGTTACAAAATTTACTTTATTTTTTCTCTGCACTATAAACAACAGGTTTTAAAGTGTATCTTACCCCCCGTGAAAAGATAACTCCGCCCCAAGGCGAAATTTGAAAAATGCATCAAAGTGGATAGGGGAGGGGGGGTTAGAGAGCGGAGGTGTGGCCAGGACGAGAGAACGCGACAGCTAGCATTAGCATAATTGATGCTACATGGAGAGTGACCACAGCGACGCAGATAGTTACATCTCTGAACGGTCTGAGGTGGAGGATTTTCCACCCCCCTCCTCACCAGAGGCAGAGAGAGACTGACTCATGTTGGCTCCCTGGATCAGGACCTTGAGCTCCAGCTCCAGCAGCCTCGGCTGAGCTGTCCACCTCACACCACACCAGCCTCGGACAGAGGAGGAGGAGCGCTCCGCAACAGCCTGACATAAAAAAATAAAAGCAGACAGCTGCAGCTGCTCACAAGATCGCTAGTTTAAATCATGAATAAAAGTGTTGGGTCTTGTTTGACTGAAGTTCGGTCCGTTAGGGCTGCAGCTGCCCCGCTGCCTCTTTTTCCCTCCTCCCCTCCCGCTGTGCAGGACGTACTGCTGGTGTGTGTGTGTGTGTGTGGGGGGGAAGAGAGAGAGAGAAAGAGCAGCGCAGCAGTCAGCTCTCTCCACCCGAGGCTGAAGGTCAACAGACGATCATGCTAAGCTTGCTAACTGTTCCACCCTCTGACTGCTGCAGGGGCGTGTCTTAGAGAGAGGCKTTTATACCAGAACACAGCCGCTGTGAYGAAACYGTGGAGAAGACACGTCACCGTGGAGAGCCGTTAACCAATATACAAATTAGCCTGCAGTACCACTGCTCTACCCATATGAGCAGCAAAAACACGTTTTTAGACCAAATATTACAGGTTTGAACAAATACACACAAAAACATCCAAATTCGCACAGAAACATTTTAGACACATTCTAGACAGTTTATCTGCTAAAAAAGTTAATTTTGGGGTAAGTTACTCTTTAAGGACAAACTTTTAAATTAGACAGTTTAATCTTCAAACAAAACTGTCTCAAGTTTCAAAGGTTTTAAATTAAAAAGGAAGTGTTGACAGTGTTGTTGAATACATTAGTTTTTACGAAATTAGGAATAATTTTCTTGATGAATAATAAGTGATGGAATAATGTTGCAGGAGAATGGGTGGGCTCATATAAATATACTTCTGCCCACTCCTTTTGAGTGTATGAATATTGTATAATTGTAAAGTTATACAGTATATCTGTTATGTTCAATAAAAGTTATTAAAAAATGATACAACTATGACATTTCATCTCTGTGAATTTCATCAAGACGTTTTTTAAAGTTTAAAAATAAAAATATTGGTAACAAAACTAAATGATTTTGTTAGAATGTGGTCTTTTACACATTTAAACATGCTGTGGAGAACAGTTCAGTCAGATGTTTACATACAGCACTTTGGTTTGAGTGCCTGAACGAGTCGCTCAAAGCCTTTATTTTCCTCTACCGCATACAAGCACGAATTTTTGCAATCAAAAGTCCCCATGGTCTCTGTTATCTTTAAGTTCTGCAGAGAGTCAGCTGATAATATTAGTGATTCCTTATTTTCTTTTGTTTTGATCCAGACAACTTGTCAGAAGCTAACATTAACACTGAACTTCAACCGGATGTAAACATACAGCAAGCCAGGAGTGACAAAATATAGAAAYACACCTCAGCTTCATCGCACACAAGACACCATGGAGAAAAAAATAATCAATCTCACACCCTGTGAATCCATTTTACTAAATTTAAATGAAATCAATCCAAGTTGATTAAATAGATTTTTTTCCCAGCTCTAACTGTAATTAAATGTACTTTATTAATTACAAGGTTCCCACACCTTGGTCGACATCAAATTCAAGAACCTTTCAAGGACTTTCCAGGACCAATTTCCTCAAATTCAAGAACCACACGCAAAAGCAATTACCTACTGTTACCACAGATTGTTACCAATAAACAGGTTTAATACTAGGGCTGCCACGATTAGTCGATTAGTCGACGACTAATCGATTATTAAAATAAACGATGACTAATTTAATAATCGATTA